ATCATAACCACTAAGAATTGAGTATTCTTCTCCTGTCGTCGCCAATTCATTACTTAAACATAATGTAAATACGTGTACAAAGAATTTTACATTTCATAAAGTATCATTAAAAGATATTGTAAAATATTTTAAAACTATAAATATTAAGAAAACTGCAGATCTGTGGGGGATTTCCGTTAAAGTCATTGCGTCTATAATGTATTATTTTTAATACTAGTATCAAATCTGGTGTGTTTCCTGATTTAATGAAGCTTAGTAAAGTAAAAACTTTAAATACAAAAAATTATTTTTGTACTGGCAACACTTGATAAAATTTTTGAAAAAAAATTATTCTTGATCAAATTTTTAAACCATTTAACGTAAATAATTTACTACATAAAAATCAATTCGGTTTCACAATGGGGCGTTTGACAACTGATGCTGGTATTGAGCTGACTAAATATATCTTCAGTGCGTGGGAGAATTCACAGGAGATGCTTTAATTATATTCAATGACATATCCAAAGTCTTCGATTGTGTTCACCATGAAACATTAATCTGGAAACTTAAACACTACGGTGTAAAAAGTGATGCTAAGTGAAGTAACAGAACGCAAAAAATTATCACTAATAGTATGAGTTCTTCCGGGTAGATAGTACAAATGGGCGTGACTCGGAGCTTACCTCTCTGCCACTTTCTGTTTCTTGTATGTATTAGTGACTTATCTTAGATTGGGGGGGATAACCATGATATAGTATTATTTGCTGATGATACTTCATTAATTTTTAAATTTAAACGAAAGTTACTAAATTATGACGAAATAAATAATGCTATATCTCAGTTAGTAAATTGGTTTAATGTTAATAATTTGAATTTAAATGGCACCAAAACTAAATGTATAAGATTAGTAACTTAGAATGTTATACATGTTAATACTAATGTAATTTTAAATGGACATGAGCTGAGTCTTGTTGATATCACCATTTTTCTTAGAATCACACTAGACGCATAGCTTCAATGGGGTCCCCATATCAAAACTAGCTAACAGATTTAGTTCTACAGCATATTTTGTAAAAAGTATTAAAATTCTTACCAGTGTCGAAACAGCTAGACTAGTTTACTTAAGCTATTTCCATAGCATAATGTAGTATGGTATTTTGCTATGGAGGCACGCGACTGACACTGAAATTATATTTGTTTTACAGGAGAGGGCCATTAGACCAATCTATGATTTAAAACGTAGAGAGTCGTTCAGGCAAAAATTTAAAGAAATTAATATATTAACTTTGGCCTTTCAATACGTTTATGAAATTCTACGTACACAAAAATAAAAGTTGTTTTACAAAAATAAGTGATATTCATTCTGTAAATACTAGGAACAGACAAGCTAGTAGTACCAGTTACTCCACTTCTCCAAATCAGTAGTTCATTCTTGGGGTGACGTATCCTATACCTTTAAACGAGCAATTCTTGTACATATATATAATCGGAATCTCGGAAACGGATCCAACGATTTTCATAAAATTTTGTGTGCAGGGAGTTTCGGGGGCAACAAATCGATCTAGCTAGGATTTATCTTTAGAAAATGTCTTTTTGTCCGTGTTTTTAGGCAATGTAAAACTGCTACAATATCGTTAGAATAAGAAGGTAAATTTTGACAGTTTATTAATGATGATTACAAATAGCTTAATATTGGGCGGTCACAAAATCGTAATACCGTGGTTCGAGCCTAGACCGACCGACCGGCTTTTTTTAGAATAATCTATTTTTTCGAGCTCCTTTTTTTAGTATTTTTTAAAAACACGAAAATTTAAATTAAACTAACCCATGATTTTTTATTCAAATAACTAGTTCAGTTTTTTCTATTATGTCGCTAAGATCAAAAAATATTATTCGTATTTCATCAGTATGTAATTTGTATCTAAATATAATTTCCAAAACACACGAATTAAAAAAACCGAGCGAAAAATACCGAGCAAAGCTCGGTCAACCGGGTACTACGCTTTAAATAGCAATCTATACTATTTTCGTAGTGGGTGATCGCTACCAAGCAATTTCTAATTTGTTTCATGTTGCTAATTGTAATACATGATTGTAAGCTGTTATTTAAAAAAGATTGTACCGCTGAGTGTTTTGCATTAAATATTGATTTTTATAAGCGAGTCAAAAGAAAAAGCGCTCCCGAAATGATTATATGGTGATACGTAAATTCAATATTTCACAAATATATAGATCCTTAATCCATCTAAAAAAAAGTAGCGCATACTTTTTACATTGCATACTATGTGTTTTTTTTATTTATAATCCACAATAAGGGGTTTTGTGACAAAAATTTATTAAAAATTAAAAAGTAATTTATGAACGTTATTATTAGGCGTGACATATTCATCCTTACAAACAAAAGTTATTTCGTTATCAAGACAATTATATAATATCTTTATAAAATTGTCTTGATAATGAAGTAACTTTTGTTACAAACTTTGCTCTTTGCAGCATGTTAAGTTACGCATAGTTTAAGAGTTAATCAAAAATTATTATAATTCAACACTCGGACGACGCGCGAACGACGCATAAACCTGTTGGTTTCTCTTTTTGCTTTTGAGATCCGACAGAAACCAGCAATGAACGAGCGAGGTTAGTTCAATTGTCTTAGCTAACAATGGCAATATTAATGGAGTAATTTTATATATAGGCATATGTATAGAGCAAAATTAAATTTTATTCACTCCCCCCTTCCGGGTGAGCGTCACCCCCAGTGCCCCAGAAAGTACCCCGAAGCGCGGTTTTTTAGGGTTCCATAGTTACACAACAAGGAACCCTTATAGTTTCCTTTATAGGTTTTATTCAGAGACCTGTATTTTGGCATAGTTATAGATATTAATCACGCCTACAAAACTGTGAAATAATAAATTCCAATTTTCCCGACAGCGATAAATCATGTTTGTATCATAATTAATGACAAATACGACTCCATTTTACTAAATCATTTGAACTGTGGTAATCACTTTCAATTATTAAGGTACCTTTCACGAATCAGACATAATATCTACATATGAAATATATATAGCTTACACAAGTGCATTTGTTATATAGCCACGAATTACCTAAGTGACATTTAACCTCAAACCACAAATACACAAACCGGAGCCATGTTTGTGTACACTTAGGTACGCTATGTATTGAATACGAGTAATTTAATTACTGGATGATATTTTAGGTACTTAAAATATATTTACTTACTCGTAGTAGCATTTTCTTATTACTACATCACATCACAAGTCTACTGGTGTACATAGGTCTCTCCTATAGATTGTCACAAAGTACGGTTCTGAACCACCTGCATCTATCGACTATCTGCATGTTTTATCAGATCATCGCCCCATCTTGCGGCGTCGCCCAACATTGTGCTTGTCAGTACGAGACTGTCACTTGATAAACGTTCTCCCCATCGGTTATCAGTTCTTCAAACTGTATCGCTAGCCCATTGCCACTTTAGCTTACTAATCCGCTGGGTTATATCAATTACTCTTGTTCTTCTGCGGATATCCACGATACGAATTTTATCACGCAGAAAAAATCTGGGCATAGCAGTGGTTAGCTTGTACCAGTTCTGACTCACTACTCAGCCCTCATCGGCTGACGGTGGGTTGATGGATCCTAAAAAAAATCTGCGGTCCATTTTTGCATAGGATGCGTGGTTCCGGAGATGTGCAGATCAATTAACTAATATCTCATTGATATCGGGTGGGCATGTACCATCATTCATTTATCATTAGCGTTCAGTGGCAAAGCTAGGGCTCTAAAGTAGGGCAAGCCCAAGATATGGTTTGTTGTTTTTAGCAGTTTTATAAAAATACACCAATCTTGTTCAGTCTCCACTCTTTAGATTCATATTAGTGCTGTCAAGGACGTGTTTAACAAAGCACACAGGAGGAAATCATCACGATGTCTCAGAATCACTTCTGCAAGGGTGCTGGGGGTAATAGGGGACGTGATAGTGGTCAAACAAAGCAATGGAGGGGCCCTTATTACGTTTCAAATGGAGATCCCCGAAGTCGTATACTCTTACATGCCACCACAACCGATGATCACCGTGGGGTTTTAATCGGAAGAAGTCCGAGATAAACTTTTTGTTGCCATCGTAGTAGAAAATATTCATCACAGTTTCCCCACGATAAAAAACTACAGTGGGGCTATTCAACTACAGAACCAGAGTATGAAACCTATCCGACTGTAGAAAGGTGTAAGACATGATGAAGTTTTATCCCTGAAACCGCTGCATTGTAAGGCTTTTTTAATTTACTGGACTAGAAAAGATATGATGCCATCATAAATGGTGAGTACATCACTCATGTTCGATTTTCCCACAATATAGTAATTATGGAAGAATCGCCGGAGCACCTAAGCACTATTACAATACAATTACTTAAAACTAACATGGATACGATCAAGATCATTTGTGACGTGTACTCGTATGTCACATCTATGCCGCTAGTTTTTAGAAGCAATACTCTCAAAGTTGTTGAGGAATATGTTTACCTACGACAGATTTTCCGATTAAGCCCGTCCAACTTATAGACAACTTATTGAATACGACACATCTTCTTGTCACGTATTCCTCAGAGCTAGAAAACAATTGCGGCAACCACAGTTTACTTATTTTTGTTAGTTGTTGATGATAAGGCAATTTGTAGGGAAAGCCTATGTCCAACATTAACATTTAAAGGGATGTAATGTAATATATATGATGAATAAATTACCAACTTCAAAACAAAATGAATACTTTTTTTAACCTTCGAAAATGAACAAATTTACACAATGAAGAATTTGCATACAATATTTGTTTACATTATCTTTAATTAGAAACGACGAGAAATCCGCACAAATCTGGGTGGAAATTATTTAATTAACTGATGAGGAAAAATTTAATAAATCCAAAGTGACAGCATGTCATTGCCTTAATTAAAAAAACTTCTTAAAAGTAATGTATTCATTATTATTATACTGAAATTTAAATTTACCTCGTTATACGCCACTGAAGTAAGAGGTAGGTAGTGATATCCGAGAGCACGGTCCCAAATGACGCCTTTGTTCCAGACTTCTACGAGGAGACCTAGGTTGATGTCGTTGATCTCACTGTTGGAAGAAAATAATTAATTAATACGCAGGTTACAAATGCATGTATGACAAAATTACATCAGTGGAATGGTACGTGGAAGCTCAGGGAATAAGGTCTCGTATGAACGTCATAGAACGCTAGCAACCAGAACAATCTCCGTCTGCATCAATGAAATTGATAAATGCAATTTTAAGTGCTGATTTTTTCTTCTTGAAGGTGAAGGGCACCGTGAAGGAACACGCATGTCCACATAATTTTAATAATATTTCGAGAAAGTCGCAGTAACAGCGTTGACTCAATATGCGTTGTTGGATATGGTGGTTGGAGTCTGACACCTGCGGCTCCTCCTTCCACAAATACCATCTCAGTAGTGAAAAGGTCTGTTTCCGGTTGTAAGATGTATACTTATTAATCTTTACAATAATACTGTACCGAACTGTTGCCCTTGAATTATTATTTTTGTGGTATTAAATCTGTAGGGGAAAACGAGGATATCCAGAACAATAATAACTGACATAGATCAGCGAATCAGTAAGCTGAAGTGTTAACAGTCCGGCCACATAGCTCGAGAACCAGCAACCTTTATTTCTTTGTTCTTCATACCCAGAGAATTCATTTCACACAACTTTACGTTCTACAACGTAATTTTTCGTCAGTAATATCAGGCATCATATTCGAGATAATTTTATTACCATATATTGCATGTCATTAGATGTTGCTTGTATGCTTCTCTTCGATTGCTTCTTATAACACTCACAATACGAAATAAGTATCTGAATTTCGTAAGCCACCACCACAAAGCGCTTTAGTCTCGACTAACCGGATTTAATTTTCATACATATACGCTGCTGTTTAGTGCGGTGAGTGTAGGGAAACGGAGACCCTTTTAACTGTAACGAGGCCTAGATTCTTAGCCATCAGAGGTAACAAGTGACAACGAGTCTCCATTTTGATACATAATGGATGATAGACTTAGATGTATGGGCCACAGCATTCACTTACTACAAGGTGTGCCCGTATTTTCACCCTTATTCTATAAAAAAGGGACAAGTGCGAGTCCGCAACGAGGGTTCCTTACAAACTCGTAAGTGTGTAGATAATACGTCCATTACAGAATTTTTCCGAGTGTCTTTTAAGTTTCTCCCTAAAATTTATAACATCGCAATATTTATCACAACAAACAAGTGCTACAACTATATTACTAATATAACTGCAGCATGGCTCTACCACGTATAAACGTGCTGCCACGTGATGAACACGCCAAGGTTTTTAGAGGAAAATTTAGCCTCTAACTTGCATATGAAAGTATCTTTGCAATTAAATTCCCTCAGTTAGTTCACACTGGTTTAACTGATTAATTGGATTGTTGAACTAGTGAGAAATGTTTGCCTCGTAATCCAACAGAATATAATGCTTTTAAGAGTTGAACTACGGGGACAAAGTAGTAAAACTCACACCAATTGGGCGCGCTTGTAAGCAAAATGGCGAAACTAAACAGTTTTTAAACAGGACACGTTTGCTAACTTCAGTAGCGCTGACACAATCCGCCATTTTGCTTATTTAATTTGTTTGTTTTGAAGTAGACTTTATAAGTTGTTTTGTGCAATATTAGTTTTAAGTAATATAATGACATGAATAGACATATATTAAAAATTCATGATTGGTAAGTTTTTAATATAAATACTTTACAAACATATATTTAAATTAGGTTAGGTTCCCCGGTTAAAACTAACTTCGTGTCCTAGAGGAAAATAGCTACTTACGATTTGACAGCGCTTACCGCTTACGATCGCCATTTTGCTTACAAGCGCTTGCTAGCGCTATTTTCTGCCAAACGCAGCCATTGATTAAACAAAACCTTAATTTATCTTGTATCTTGTAATCGTATTTACCTAAGCTACCTTTCATTGGAATTTATTATTTAAATATTCTATAATATTGGGTCCTAATAGAATATTACATATGAAATTAGCTTTTTGTCGTATGACCACTTTGATCTGAAATATCTCCTCTTTGGTTAAGAATTCCAAATTTGAATTTATAAATTATTGGCGTACATTTAAGTTTTGAAAACAGTCATTCATTTGTTTTTTCCTCATTATTTTTTTCTTTGGCATGGTTTATTACTACACAATGGAAGACATGGAATATCGGTATATTTACGAATACTAATTCTACCGTAGCACCAGTGCTGCAGAAACAGCTCGAAGGATCAATTATGTATACGGCGCTGGTGTCGCAAAAAAAGTACGGTACGTTTTTTGTTTCAACGTTTTCGTTCTGAAAATTTCGACCTTCAGAACCAAACTCATGGACAACCGGAGACCAAAGTGGAAAACGAAGAATTATATGCTATTATGGAACGGAGCCGTGGTAGCTCAGTGGTTAACGCTCGCTGTAAATATAACATAACGCGAGAGTAACCCGGGTTCGATCCCCGCCGGCACCAATGAAATTGTTAATTGTAATTTTAAGTGCTGATTTACCACGTGCTCGGCGGTGAAGGAGAACATCGTGAGGAAACCTGTATGTCTGAGGAATAAGAAAAATATTTCGAAGACATGTGAAGTTCGTCAACACGCATTTGGGCAGCGCGGCGGACACTTCCTTGCCCTAAACCCTCTCAGAAATGAGGGGAGGCCTGAGCCCAGCAGTGGGACGTATATAGGCTGTAACTTTACTTTCTTTTTTATGGAAACGGATCCATCACAAAGTATTTCATAGATAGCTGCAGACTTCGGGTAAGTGATAAAACTGTATTAACTCACTTGAAGCAAATCGGGAAAGAATAAATCTTGAACGATGGGTACCTCATTAATTGAGTGAATCGAACTTGCAAACACGCGTCGACTGCTGTGTTACTTTGCTCAACCGACACTAAAATCAAGGGATGTTAAATCGAATCATTACTTGTGATGAAAAGTAGATACTGTACGATAATCGGAAGCGCTCGTCGCATTGGCTTAATCCTGGAGACCCAGCCAAATCCTGCCCTAAAAGAAAATTGACTCAGAAAAAGTTTAAGTTTAAAAGACACCGTTTTACAAATTTAAGGTACAGAAGAAAAAAAATATTCCTAAAATTGAAATATAAAATTTATAATGCAATTTTATAAACTGATTTAATATTTCTCGTTTACTTTTTACAAAATCTATCATAAATATATATTTTTTGATTTTATATTATATAAAATACCTTATTGGGGGTGGGCGGGAGATGCTCTTTAAACTAGGTAGGTAAGACACATCATTATATTTTGTTACGCGGAACTTAGCAAATTAATTTTAACATCTTTAATATAATGGATTTTCGCAAAGTAACGCCTCATTCTATTAATAATCTTCTTTGTGTCAGACTGTCGGACAAGTGCTATTTCTCACAGCTTGGAAACAAGGTGGGTTCCCATGACGAACTTATCTTTATGAAACCCTATCACAGATTCTATACGAGTATATTATACCAGCCGATACCCACTCTCTTCGCTGGGCGTACGATAATAGACGATAATAACATAGATATAAAATATCAAGAATTTTATGAGACTCTCGTAAAATCCGTTCTTATTAAGCGTCTACATTGAGAAATGTAGACGTAACTATACTAAATTTAAAGTCAATCGGATGTATAGTTTTAGAGATAACGTCATAAGTCAGTCAGTCAGTCTTACTGATTTTTGATGATTTATTTCCAGTATTTCAGTATATATATACAGATATTTTACAAAAATAAAAAATATTTAATTGAATAAGCTAATTAATTAAAATCTCGAAATTTAAATCATATTCACCCTTCTTTACGAACGGCAATAAAACAATGAATTTAGTATAGGCATCTTTGACCTTGTCACTTCGCAGGGTCACAGGCTCAAGGGCAAAGGCAAAGTAATTGTTCTAAAAAAATTTCAAATATTTAATTCAAAATTTATGTTTTTGTTTTTTGTAAAATATCAGTGGTATAGGCTTCTACTCCGTTCACATGTTACACCCTATTTTTTGCAGACGGTAAAATAGTCATCCAGTACATATAAATAAGATAGATTAAATAAATAATATATCAATGAGCTACCCAAGTCTTATAATATCAAACAAAAAGCGAAAAACAGATTAATGTTACTTATTAAGTTTGTCTCTCGTAAAAGTGAAATATCTTTCAAGTGATTTCCACAGTCATTAATCTCGTGTGCGACAGAAAGAAGGTTAGGGTTCTGTACCAGTATTTCTCAAAGTCTCATTGACATTGCGTAAATAAAACGTATCACATTGGTGCTTCGCGTTAAAATGGGCAAGAGGGTGGCAATAACTTAAACTAACACCTAAATAACGAAGCTTTGCCACCGAGTAAACTCCTACTATAGAAGAGAGCCAAATTCAGGAGTTAACTGCTAACAGATTGATGATGATGGTGAGGAAAATAATAATATAGTTACAATCCCATCGACGCAAGTGATTGCCAATTTAAAATAAATTACTTGTCAGGCTAGTAGCGTAACACGTTACAACCTAGTTCGTTAGCTAATATTTTAACCAGTCAGTAAATTCAATTTCGCTTGCGGGATTTATCAATTACCTCCGTATTAATATGGTTTTAAAAGGACATTATATTATATTCATAAGTTAATAATTTCATTAAAAAAAGAGGGGACAATGTTTTGTGTTGTCAATTGTGTAACATACATTATTGTAAGTTATTTTTTTTGGGTTCCGCTGGGTTTCTTGGTGGTTCTTCCCAAGACAGAGTTTTTTTTTCCAACCAGTGATAAATGGCACAAAAGAGTGACTATCAATAAGTGTTATTTATAATCTATATTGAATAAAAAAATATCTGTTTCTGTTACCATATTTACGTCCGGCGTTGAATACTAGGACCTGCAAAAGGCAACAGTATCCAAAGTGCGAGAATTCGAGTATGTACTGGGCCCCAACAATCGTGTCAGTTGAGACAAATTTCTTCAACGGATGTGACACACAAACTGAGTATAAATGATCAGTTGTAAGCAACAAAAGTTTTTGTTGCTTTC